CAGCATTAATTACCTTCGCGAGGTCTCACCAAGACTTCTAGCCGTAATAGTAGCAACAGCTTTCGAGGGGTGGGTGACAGTGTACGACGACCCACCGCTGTGCACGTCAGTAGCAGCAAGGTGCTCCCAATAGAAGTTACGTGTAGCAGTCGGGCTCCTGATGCTGACGGAGGCAATAATGGCGGCCCCAGCAGCAGCCCCAGTGAAGGTTTGGCAGCGAAAGCTGCAGGCGTACCCGCCGGTACTGCTACTGCTGTTGGCAAGAGGTTAATAAGCAGTGGTCGCCGTGTTTGGGATGATAAGCAGCAGCCGCAGTCCGCTGGTGGACCTAGCGGCAACTTGGAGGCTCCATTATCCGTACAGCCACACGATGCCTTTTCTAATGAGTGCAAGAGTTCGCAGCAGCTGGTCGAGGTGGCCCTGCCGGTTACTGCTGCTACTGCTGCTACAACTACTTCCGGTGCTCCTGCAACTATTGATGCAATTGCTGCTGCTCCAATCGCTGCTGCTGCCGCCCATACTGCTGCTGCTGCTGATAACGAACTGCTGGAAGGACAAGTCCTTCCTGGTAACAACGGTTGCAAAGTCCAAGGCATGCAGACAGGCATATTACCCCGGCGACTGCCATCACTATTTGTCCATCCTGTAATCCAACCGCCTGGTGTAGTTAACATGCCCTTACATGACAGACAAGATGGTGACAGTGGTAGTAGTGGTGGGCCGCCGCTGCCTCACGAAAATCGGCATGCTTTAGTCTGAGGGGTCAACATGCTTTAGAATGAGGTGCGGCGAGTGTTGCAATGGAGGAAGCGGGGGTGGGGGAGGAGCGAGGGTTGGTAGGCGAGCCAACGTCGTTCATAATAACAGAGAGTTGGCAGCGACGAGAGCTATCGGCGGCATATCACCCAGATTCGGCTCGCTCTGCTGCTTGCATGGAAATGTGTGATATATACGTGTGATCACGTGTGATATATACATCATGTGTGATATATACATCACGTGTGATCACGTGTGATATATACGTGTGATCACGCCCAAATGTGTGATATGAGCGGATACGTTCATTGACGTCTATCGGGTCGTAGGGGCTTCGCCATTACTTGTTTGGGGTGCTGTATGTAGCAGCAGCGTACCCTTCCCGCGTATCTTTACCTTGTATTGGCAGGCGACTACTGATCGGCGTTGGTAGCGTGCGTATGTAGCTAGTGCAGTGATCACCTGGGCGCGGAAGAAGGGAGCATTGCCCAGCTTGTACGCAGGCTGTAGCGCACATAGAAATGTATAAGGAGACCGGCGGCAGATCGATTAGGGTATGTAGAGCAGTAGTTGTCATACTGATTAGCGAATCTTGAATCGACATCAAGATACAAGGTACAATGTCGCGGGATCGATACCCGTCAGGGACAAAATCCCTATGGTGGTGACCTGGGATAATGATAACCTGCGAAGCCAACCAGGAATGGAGTTGGGCCGCTCTCGTTCCGCCAGATTCCGTTGGATGCTGGTGGTAGGTGCGGAATCTGAGCGATCCACTGAGACGTTGACTAGGGCGACTGGATGAGGGTGCCCCGAAATACCGGGGAAGGCAGAGAGTTTCGCAGGGTAGCTGCCTTGGGCGAAGATATACCCCCCTGTTTCACACATCATACAAGAGGAACACGCGGATTTTGTGCATGCGCACCTAGAAATCTTCGTTGATAAAACGTGAATGCCATTTTTTATTTTAGATTTTAGATTGTATCTGGCCGTATTGTGGTATCTCCCTACGCTACCACAGCTCCTTCGGTATAATGGCTATAGCATAATGCTCTGCGTGTGTCGGCGAGCCCATGGGCCCCAATCCACTAATAGACTCCCCATAGTGCATCGGTCAGTGGCGTGGAGCAGCCTGACACGACATATCTGAAATGAATGTCGATATACATGCACAACATTAATGGTTAACATTATTGTTGTCAGTAAAATATATGCTGGACGAGCTGCACTGCAACCGCTCCGCAGACCACTATATTGCAGGGGCGCTCCGACGTAGCAGAGGGCTTTAGGCACTTCCCTTGACCTCTTGCTCGCAACTGGATGTGCCAATCCCATGCCGTACTGCGCTGTGTGATTACGAGGAAGTAACTGTCTATGGAACAATCTACCCCATTTTGATGTGTAGGGGTGAGAGCGACCGTACGGGAATGGTGTGGATATCTGACGATTGTACGACAACACCTGAAGAATGTACGCCGATTACCTATAGCAGTTAATGTTGCAGCTGGCCGCTGAAAAGGCCATGCTGGCGAAGTGCCTCAGCGCGTGTGTTTAGATGATTGTGTGCCGTACTACCTTCTGTCACTGTAGTTACCGATGTGTTCAGCATCAATACAATGTGACACATACATTGGAGATGATTTTACACTTCTCAGCATGCCCAGTCATTTCCATGCCCCGTACTCGAACATTGCTTGCAAGGCGCCTGCATCCGCATTTCAGCAGTCAAAGCATGCAACCTAGCCGCCATGCGAACCTGCTGTTGCATCCGCACCATTTCGGTGCTTCAAGGACAAGGGCAGCTAACGGATATAACCTATATCGTCATTCGGACAGTGCGGCGCCCTACCTGCCCCACGGGGTTATTTGGGGACCTGGCAAGACGGCGGCGTGCCGTATATACTACCGTGCCGCCATCCCAAAATGGATGCGCTACTCTGCATGCAGCATCACCGTGGTCTCCCCACAACCTGTGCCCCCGTGTCTTCCCACGGCAACCCGACGAGTTCAAACACGGCTGTAGTTTGGGTATCCGTAAAAGAAGTCCGCTAGACAGCTCGAGTTCCTGCAGTGCCTCCTGGCGGACGAATAAATGAACCGCAGTGCTGCAAACGGTTAACGGTGTAACCCGCTTATAACCGACAATCGTTAGCAGTGAAAAGCAAACTCCTGCATCATGACACCAGAAGACGCTGCCAACACATACCAAGCACAAACCAAAGTATAAATACATATCTTAAATGTACAATCGTTCTGAGCCACCTAGCAACTCAATGCTTCCCTCGTAACGCTGCGACCAGTCATCAGTTCCAGACGCTGTCGTACGCAGTAGGCCCTACTTACTCCGAGCAGGGTAACGAGCCCTGCAACAGGTTGCGGCGCGACGCAGGACACAACACGTTTGTGGGGCCTTTCACCGCTGCAGCCGCCAGCGCCGCCTCCACGAACGCACCGGCAAAGCCCTTGGCCAGCGGCAGCTCATCATCGCTGCTCCACGCTTCGGAAGCAAGCTCAGCGGTACACCTCTCGACCTGCGTCACTTCATCGCCGGCCTTAACGCCGTGGATCTGGAATTGTGGTGGTGGGCTAGGCCGAGCCACCACGCAGACCCAGGCCTCGTCGTCGGCACTCAAAGCGACGCCGCCGTGCGCTGCTGTCGGACTCATCGCCACCATGCGACCGTGGCCACCGCCAGTACCATCCCCTTCACAGTCCCTGCTGCTGCTGTTCATCCTCGTCAACTGGGGCGCGCTAGCATGCAAGGTACTTCCGCCACCGCTATTGCCGGTGGCGTCCCTTGTCGTGCAGCTTGGGGAGCTCTGAGCCAGCGAGCCGTCATTGGACGCTAACACTAGTTTTATTTCGGACGCACAGCCGCCGTCACTGCGGCCAGCGTTGCAGCAACATAATCGGGGTAAGGCTTAGACTGATTAAAAAACGCTAATCGCAAGGGTTCCAACAATTTAGCTTTTCAAGACGGAGATGTGCATGACAGGACAGTCATGGACCTAACAGACAGTTGGACATACCTACAGACAGATAACTATGAGCATGACTGCGGCCGAACACAAATACAGCGGCATGATGCTCGTCCCGCAACCGTGTACTGGCCCTGGACATCAATTAAACCACAGCACCTGACGTTGTAAAGGAGCTATCGCCATACTTCGCGCTAGTCACGGCCAATAGCCATCACGCAGTACATTGCTCTACTCCCTGTGATGATGTTTTTTAAGGAGCGTTAGTTACCGGTAATTAGTATTAGTACCGCACTGACCTGACAAGCTGCAGCGAGTCCGAGGTAGAGACTTCGGCAGACGTGCTGCTGATCCGTTGTTCGATAAACCTGAGCACCATCCGCTGGATACAGGCTGCAGCGCTTTCACTGAAGGTCCCATTCGTTGCCTGGGCGTCGGGCGCGCCGCTTGCGGCGCCGGTGCCGCTGCTGTTGCCACCTTCTCCACCGTCGGTGTTCACGACAGCCCCATTGCCGGCCGGATCGCCAGCAAGCGGGGACGGAGGCGTAAGTGCACGTGGGCTCATGTTTCCAGAGCCGATGACTTGGGTAACGTACTTCACGATGTTCGCCTCGCCGCGGGTTCGCACCAACGCGCAGAGCCACCTTCTCGCCAGGGTTTTGTTCGACTCGGCGAGCCTTTTGCGCCACCGGTACACAACACGCTCCACGCGAATGAGGCCGCGCCAGCTCCTGCTGCGGCCCGGCCGGAGGGTGGCGGCCACGGCGGGTGCCAGATTAGCAGGGACAGGAGCGTTGCGGGTCGGACTGCATGGCGCTGCCTCCGTATCCGCAATCACCTCACTCCCGGCGGCCATTGCCGCTCCCATTGCCTCCTTAGGCTGTAAGGTCACTGCCGCGATCCGCAGGGGTGGCAGCTGCGGTTGTGCGAAAGCTGACGCCTCCTCCACGGTCATGGCAGCCATTGCCTGCATCACAGGTCGCTCATCAGCGTTGGCTACTCCCATCGCGGCATCCTCCGTTGCAGGGACCTCAAGGGCCTTCGGCGGCGCCGGTATGCCGGAGCGCTTCGCGATAAACAAGGGGATTGCAGTTACTCCGGTACGGCGGCCGGTGCCTGGCGTCGCCGTACCGGCCGGCGTGCGAGCTGTGAGGGCGGTGAGCGCCATTGCATTAACGTGGCCGAAAGCGAGGGGGGGAACTCCCGCAGGCAGTTTGCTGTGTCCCGCTCGAGGTGGGGCTGCGAAACCGCTGCCGCCAATACTGCGGGGTATCCTGCTCTTGCCAGTAGTGGTAAGGTCGCCTGGCGGCACTACGAAGCCGCTGCCGGCCAGAACGGATGACGGGGGGGGCGGGGAAGACAAAGGCGCTGAGCCCGAAATGGGATGGGATGGCGACGGCGAAGCTGACGGTGAAGCTGACGGCGACGGTGACGCCGATGTGGAAGGCGACGACTGCTGCTGAAACCGCCTAGGTGACATCAGAGGGGTGCGGTAGCGAGGGCCCGCTGGGGACGTCGACTGCGAAGGCGATTGTGACTCCGATGACGACTTGGACGGCGAACGCCGCGGTGACGTCATAGGTGTACCGTACCGGAGCAGCGATGGTGGCGTCGACTGTGATGGGGGTCTCCAGGGAGACCGCGGCGGCGAGGCCAAGGGGTCGCCGCTGTGCGGCATTTTCTGTGAAGAGGACTGCGAAGGAGATTGCGACGGCGACCGAAGCGGCGACTGTGAAGCTGACAACGGCGGCGACGATTCTACAACCGCCGCTGGTTCGTACAACGCCACCGGCGCCACCGGTAACTGCGGCGCGTCGCCTGGGTCCGACTCATAACCGTTGGCAGGGGTTGCACCGCCCGGGGCGAGGACGGGCAAGGCGGAAGCGGCTTGCGACGGCAGCCCAACCGCCGAAGGCACCACTCCACCTGTGGCCCACGACTGCAGCGAGGCGATTGAGGCGCTTGGTGTAGCTGACGTTGCGGCCTGTGTAGCCAACTCAACACTCCCCTCGATTGGCCCTGGTGACGCCATGCAAACGAGGAAGTCCTCGTTAACCTCATCCCTGTCCAGAAGCGGCGTTGCGGGCCCGCCCTCCGCGCCTGTGAAGAGCTCGTCTTGACCATTGATAGCGCTGCAGCCGATTTCATTCTGTTCGGATGGGCTGCCGCCCACCATCACGCCGCTGGCGTCGGGGCTCGCGGTCAAGCTGTCAGTGCTGCATGTATCGTATCTTGCGCTATCCCGCGGGTTTCTCGCAGCGGCGGGTGCAGCTAGGCCCCAGTTGCCCAAGGGAGCTGTACAAATACAAGCCGCATTATCACGACCGCTTGCGGTCGCGTCGTCAGCCTTGGGCGTGGTGGTGTCCGTGGCGAGACGTTGCGTTGGCACAGCTGCGGCGGCAGTTGTTTTTGCTGCTGGCTTAGACGTGGCAGAGTTGTCAGGATCAGCAACAGGGTTGTTGTCCGGACTGCCGCCGCCGCCGTCGTCAGGTTCGTGGTTGACGCCGGCAGCGTTGCCACGGTCCTGTGTCTCGGCCAGATGGGCTGTATGTCGGGCGAGGCTTTGCGATGTCGTCGACGCCATGCCGTCATCACCACCACCGACGCTGCTGCTGGCATCGCGTATTCCACCCTCCTCACTTGTGTGCTGGCAGTTGGCCGCAGTGGGGACGTTTCCATTATGGAGGCGGCTGTCGAAGGCCGCTTCCCGCTTCGGAAACGCCCTTGGAGCTGTAGCTGGAGCCGTGGACTGCATAGCCGCGACGGGTGTGACGTTAGACGCGCACTCAGAAATAGATTGATCTCCGACGCTGCTACTATCCAATGATGTCGTCACGCTGTTGGTCTTGGCTCTTGGTGTCCCTGTGAAGCGTGATATGTAGGCGCGCAGTACAGCTCGGCAATCCAAGGCTAGAAGAAGCACCGAGTCCGGCATGGATATGAGGAAGAAGACGAGCACCACAGCGGCCTGCAGTGTGTTGGTGCAAAGTGAGGTGACGAAAAGGGTCACAAGAGAAGGATTAAAAGCAACGCCTAGTAAGTAAAGGATGGCAAAGTCCGTCGGGTTTCATTTGAGTTGGTATATAGAGGTTTGCCGAGTTTGTTTTACTAAAACGACAGGTTGTCCTCCACTTGGGTCGGGCCCGATACACGCTTCCTTATGTCTTCCACAACACAAACCATGATGCGACCATCCTATATCGGATGATCGCCACACCTGGCCGTGCTGACGTCAAGACGTGCTGACATCAAGGCAGGACGTGCTGGCGTCAAGACAGGACGTGGCGTAAATCAAGCGGCGTGGCGTAAATTGCAGCGCACCAGGTGACAGTGCAGGGCGCTTGTTGCATGCACACAGACCCTAGACACGGAAGCCAAGACGCGGTCAGAACCTCTAGCCAGGCGCTAGCTCACCATGACGATGACAAACCCGATGGGTTCGGGAGCCACGTTGTCGTGTGTTGGGACTACGACGACGGCGGAGTCTGCGGTGTCCACAACGACAAACAGATCTCCAACAGGTGAACCAGCCTTGCACATGGACAACTCTTCAGCTGAGGATGAAGCCGGGGTTGCAACTGCGAACGTTGCGTGGACAGGGCACTTGTGGAGGAGTTCAAGAGCGCATGTGGTGTAGGCGGTGTAGCCAGCGGTGGCAGGCAGCTTGAGGCGCGAAGCAGCGGAACTTGGTTCGAAGGCGCTCAGATCTTGGGCGGCGCGTGGATCCGGGGCATGTGGGTCGGCGGTATTCGAGTTGGTCAACTCAGAGCTTGGCTCGGCTGTACTCGGCTGAGTTACACCTAGCTCGGCGGTGATCGACTGGGCGGCTATTGGCTGGGTAGCGTTTGGCTGAGCTGTGCTTGGCTCAGCGAGGTTGGGCTGGTGGCCATACGGCTCCGTGGCGCCGTATGTGTTGGTGGCAGGCAGGTCGGTAGTCCTCTTGTCGGCAGCAGGTGAGTCTGCGTGACTGGGTGTTACAAAAGAGCGGGAGTCGGCTGGAATGTGTGTTGCTGCTGTTGTGGCGTTGTTCTCATTGCTGGCGCGCTGCGCGTTTACAGCATTTAGTTTGGAGAGGTCGGTAGGCAGACCCTCGTTCCATGCGCGCGCGCTCCAAGAGCGCAGCAGCTGAAGCACCTGGATGGGCAGCGGGGGCATAGAATTTTATTTTATTCCATCTGGGTCACGTCTCTATTTGCCCAATTTTAACCGAACGCTTGGCCATGGCGTTGCGCCAGCTTTGCACAATACGGGGAAAGTAAAAATCCTTGCTGGTAAGGCATTAGCTTGGCTAGCTAATGGGCTCCCAGCTAGCTTAATCTGGCTTAATTACCTCTTCCGCTGCTTGCAGGCTATGATGCTTGTCCAGCGGACTTAGGTAAGCGCCAGCCGCAACCGCGCATACGATGACGAGGACAAATGCGGGCAGAAAGCCTATTGGAGGGAAAATAGAAGTGGTCAGATTCATTCTGCATCCAAATTAATGTGTTAACGAACTACTTGGCAGGGCGCCAAGAGCAACAGGGACTAACTAACCTGTCCATCGGCGTGACTGGCGTTTCTGAGCCAGCTCCTTTGCCCTGAGGAGGGCTAAGTACTCGGGCGAAGTGACAAGAGCCCCCACTTGATTGCATGTGGTAATATCGTTCCTACAAGTCCACGAAAGGAATCAAGGCGGGCGGGGAAACCAACAGGCAGTTGTCCGGCTTTGATCATAGCGCTTTTCCTATCACTTCATACCTTAGCCTATACTCTTCAGGACTGATTTTTCCAGATTTGAAGGGAACATGAGGTATGGTATGCATGTTTTGTGTTGTATATCGGTTTTATGCCGCGTCTCGAACAGGCAGTAACTGTAATATTGTTGTATAATTTCAAGGGCCAATTTAAATATACCAGCTCAGGGATCACCAGAATGCCCGTTAGGAGGCGCAAATTCCTTTTGTATAAAACGCATCGTACTTTACTTCGTCGTACTTTACATGTCGATCCAATCGCTGGCAATCGATCCCGCCCAATGTGACCCTTTTAGAGATCCGAGATTAAATAAGCTGCATGGTGTCATCGACTGGTCAGCCTACCTCAACATCAATCACATGTTGACGAAGCCATGTTATGGTCAGCTGTCCTATCAGTAACACACGTAAAGGGGTGAGACGTTTAATCATTTGAAGAACCGAAGACTACAGCTTTCAATATGCGGAATATTTCGGTACCTTGCTGCATTGTATGTCCGCCAGCATTTTATTCTGTATTCCGCCGCCCACATTGCGCTTCAATTCCTCTAGAACTCTGGACTGTGCACTCCTTTTCGTTCTGCAAATGCTCGACTTGCCCATCAGCGTTATCAAGTTCGTTCTGCTTAGGATGACCAAATATTCGCGATATCCATCGTGAAACACGTGTTTGACACTGTTCTGTACTCTGGCTCGTCTCAACACATGCACTTTCTGTCTGACGGATATGCAGGATCTACACAGGTGCACAGCTTGCCTATGATACTGAGGGTTCCTTTATGATCGCTTTTAGCTCCTATGTCTCGTCATGCGTTACAATTGCGGGCAAAAGCAACCGGGATAAGACCCTTGACTTCGCCGCCCACGCCGTAGATTCTTTCGAACGTAGATTTCAACGCACATCACCTCAAGTCCTAATATCACAGCTGTCCAGGGTGCCATTACTGCCCCGCAAAGATTCCACTCATCCCTGCCTCACCGCGCATTCCAACACGTTTGCAAACATTTGCTAACAGGTAATCAAGCTAAGTTCAAAACCCCAGCGCGGCTGCGATGATAAGGATAAAGCTGAATATATTTTGACTTCATGTGTCCTTTTCTCAGAGCCGTCCTATCCAACGCAGTCGAATGCCGCCCTGAGACTGCCCTGGGGCCACAAAAAAATTGTACCTTCCGCAAGACAGTTTCCACGGGCAATAATTGTCACCTGAAATTCGCCGCCCACGCATCATACCACCACGCTCGCCAACCCTGTCTTTTCGGATGCCTTTAGCATGCTACCATCCGGCTCAGCAAAAAATTTGCGCCGCGACAAAGGACTAACAGGACCGCACTCTTTTACACCGCAACTGTCAAAAAAGGGCAGAGCAGAGCAGCGCAGACTAACGTAAGAGCAGATTCGTCAGTTAGATATGTTCTTACTGCGCAGCCTTGAACCCTGTTGCCGCCCTCCTTCTTGCGTTGCAAACGGAATCGAGACTAATTGCATACAGCATATCAGTCTCCCTTATGACTTCGCAGTTCACGCTGCGGCATCGCATGAACTGATCTGTTTCGATCGCACACAGCCCACTGACTCTGGCAACAACAGACTCTCACCACACCGACTGTGTCTCGGCCATGCACCGCCGCTTCCCATCCCGCATCCCGCCTATCCCTATCCTGCATCCCGCCTACCCATTCACTTCAAAACACACAAATCCGCTTTGAGTCCGGGGTGGGCTCACATTCACTGGCTCCCGCGCCAACGAATACCCCAATACCACCATACGCCATACACACACCACCGACGACGTAGCTCGCTGTGCCGCGACGCCACATAAGTGAGGTAAGGTATTCCACGACGCTTCCTTCACACGCCCATCCGAAGACGCTTCTGAACCATTCCGTAGCCCCGGCCGCTCTTTCCCTAGTCCTAGTCCGTCCGAAGAGACGCTCACAAGCCACCCCACTGCAGCACCAACAGCAAATGCACATGGCCACCGCTCACCGGAGAGTCGTGTCGTCCTCCAGCTTGCCCAGAATGAGGGGGAACCGGCCGCCGAGGATTCTCATGATACGCGCGCCTTCATCATCGTTTTGGCCGAGACCACTTCACCGCAACGAACACAGGTAGGGTACATCGCTTGGACCTGCTCGGGTTCCGAACAGCACACCTCGCAGGGGCCCATGTGCTTGCAGCTCAGTAAGAACCAGCAGCCTGTGCGCTCGTGGCACAAAGGGCAGAGAAGACGGGTGGCTGGCTGACGGGGAAGCGGGGGCTCTGCTAGTGCAGCCAGTTGCGCGTCCGCCGGAGGCGCTACCGCTGCAACCGAGGGTGGCTCCCATGTGGGTATTTGCAACCCGCCCGTGGTTACAGATGGTCCCGGGGGCGGAGCCGGGGCCGCGACGGCTGGTCGCAGCGGCGGCACGGACGCGAGTTGCGTGGGCTGGGGACCCGGCGCGATAACCTGTCGCATGATGGGGCGGACCCCAGGTTGTGCTGCAGAAGCCAAGGCCGATTGGACAGGTCGCACAGGCGCCATCATCGAAGCGACCGGCCGTGGCGGAGCCCCTCCACCGGCGGCCACAGCTGGCATTGAACCAGACCGCGCTGCCAAGAGGAAGCTTGGACGGATCGTCGCTGGACCCGGGTGTGTCTGTACCACCGGTGGCGGCAGGGGCACGGATGCCGGCGGCGGCAGAGGCCCCGCCACTGACGCCGCAGCTGCCACAGGCGCCAAAGGCGTAGGCACAGGTGCAGCAGTATTGGCCGGTACCGGGGCCGATACAGGCGCCGCTGCCGTGATAGACGATTGCAGGGGCTGTGGCATTTGAGGCGGGGAGACTGCATGGACAATCTGGACATTCACAGGCGCTGTAGGGCTAGCTGCTGCCGCCGTGGCAAGAGCCGCCGCCGGCGGGGTCACGTCTCTGGAGTTAACGGCTGGCCACGGAGTGACCAGGCCCCGAGGGGCCCCAGAGACCCCTGCCATCTGAACTGATGTCGCTATCACCAACGGTGCTGGGGCCCCAGCCGGAACCACAACCGGGGTTGGGCCTGTTGAGACTACCCCCGAAGACGTCGCGCCCGACGACGGCGGCTGTGCCGCGGCTTGCGCCTCGCGCCGTTGCCTCTGCAGCATCAAAACGGGCGGCAGGTAGACAGGTAACGGCGGCGGTGGCGGTGCAACCCTGCTAGGTGGTGGGGGAATTACGCGGACAGGGACTGCACCAGGGGCAGCTGCAGCTCCTTGAAGCGGCGCCACGGCGGGATGAGTGCTGGCGGACGGCATATTGGGAGGCGTCGGTGCAGGAGAAAGGACGTCGGCTTCTTTGAAGTCACCAAAGATGATGGCAGGAAGCGGTGCTGACGACGACGGCATCGGTAAATCAGTCTCACGCGCTGGCGTGGTTGCAGCAGCATGTACGACAGAGGTAGCCATTCCAGCAGTATCTCGTGGCGGCGATGCTGGAGCGGGCTGGTCGGTTGGAGCGGCAAGGGTTCCTCCTGACTCTGGGAGACCGATGCCTGTGGATGTGGATGTGCTGGGAATAGATGGCGCCTCCGAAGATGAAGCCTCCGTCGCAATCCTGTCGTTGTTGCTGCTGCTGCGGGCGAGACTGACCGCGGGCTGTACTTCGCCACCCGCCGGCAGGTCAGCACCCTCAACCGCTGGTGCTGTCGGCGGTCCCGCCAACACCGCTGACGCAGCAGCAGTAGCATCGTCGCTCGGCGCAGACAACGGTGGTGCTGTCGGCGCAGCATCCAGAGTACCTTGTGCTGGTGGACGCGGTGCCGCCTCCACCACGGTAATGTCTTCTTTTACCTGCGACGCTGAAGACGCTGAAGACGCTGAAGACATCTGCGACATTTCTATCACAGGAAAACCTGAAGACTTTGACAACGATGCCGTCGCCGCTGGTGCATCTGAACCCGCTGAAGGTAGCGGCGTCAACGTTGTCGAAGTTGTTGAATCAATCGGCGTCACCGGATGCGATAGTGGAGTTGTTACCGCCGGCTGCACTCCGCCCAGAGAAATCGACGTCTCCGTCATCTCTGGCAGAGCCGTCGGAGGTTTAGCGGACGCATCTGTGGTGGGTGGCCCAGGCACTAATGCCGCCGGCTGTGCCGCAGGCGGTGATCCAGCCTCACTTGCCACACGCGCAACAAATCCATTAGATCCCAGGGCTGATACGGCATGCTCTGAAAGCACTCTTAGAGCCAAGCGCGCAGCTTCCCCACGTGCACTGGCAGAAGTGTCAGTCGGCGGAAGTGTGGGGAAAACCGTGCCAGCGGCCGACGCATGAAAGGCTTCCTTGCTCATGGGTGCAAGGCGCTTCACGACACGCCAGGTGATGTAGGTGTTGCTGCCGTCTCCGACAGTTTCAACCGCCTTCCACACCCCCAGAAGCTCAGACCGGTCCACATCGAATAGCAGGAGGGCCGTTTGGCGCGCTTTAAGAATCTCCTCGTGCATGGAGAAATGTACGGCGCTGAGCTTTATCATGTCGTACCTGTGCGCAGTGAAACATCACAGGGAAAAGGGATGGCGGAGGTGTGAATTCGGGGGAGGGCGAGAGGGGGAAAACGGTGCTGGTTTATTTTGCTTACGACAGCATCAGGCCGAAGCACGACGACGCCTGGGAAGTAGTCGCCCATGAAGGGGGAAGTGTTATGAAGTTATGAAGGCGAGGGGTACAGTGTCACCGCGTGGGAGAAGAAAAGGTATTTCTCGCCAGCAGCGGTCAGCAACATTTGGTGAACTCACAGCAATGACCCACATCGGCAAGCATGGCCCGCAGCCTGTGACGAAGCTACACCCAAGCCCAGCGGCTTATGCATGCATAGGGTGGTGTACCGTAGGATGAGAATAGCAGAACGAAATATTCCCAGCCGACTTAGTTTAAGTTGGCGAAACACATCACGTGCAATTATGCCACAGAGTAAAAGAACGGCTTTTTGAGCCTGGTGCGTGCACCCCATTGCGTGAACCTGGTGCGTGCACCCCATAGCGTGTAAGCCTAAGGAACGTTTCAATGCCACCGGGCCAGGCCCCCAGCTACCTGCAGTGTTCGGCCCTGGCACATGCCTGCCACCGGGCCAGGCCCCGTCCCCTTCACTAGCCAGCTCCCTCCTTGCAAATTCAGGCCCAAAAGATGAACCCCCCTATTCATTATCTTCTGGGCAGCGCCAAATCACGATCATGGCGCAATCATGGCAACCCAGACTTACTTTTGATACTTTTGCCTGGTATCGGCACTGCAAAGTGTCAGCCGCACATAGTCAAACCCCTGCCAAAATGGTTGTATGGCGGGGATTGTTGGGTTGTATTGTAAAATCCGCCCGGCTCCGGCAGCAGCTAAAGTCAAAGGGCGGGCAAAGGGAGCACCGGCGACTATAAGCTGTTTCAGCATGGCCCTTGTAGCATCCTTTGCGGCGGCGTCTGCGTCGCTTGAGCCACTGGTGCCCTTGGCGCCATCATCCAGCTTGGCAGCACCGCCGTTGGCGACCTGCCCGGCGTTGGCTTGTTCCTTAGCCATATCAAAGCGCTTCAATCGTCAATATTCTCCTCAATGTGATTACTGCAGGCTGTGGCACAGTGCCAAGCGACCACACAGTCACCGCGGGCAACCGAACCTCCACAGTGGATGTAAAGGACTTTTTTCCCGGGCAGCTTCCCGCGTCTGCCCAGAACTTCCTTTTTTCTCCAAATTTGATATCCCGCTGTTTGCAGATAACTGTGATTGATCAACAGCGTTCTGTAATTTGGCCGTCCGTTAAGCCGTCAGGTATTATACCCGCCTTTGGTGACTTCTGCACGGACAAAAAACATCAGAAGTCCTTGCATAATGGCACCATCAACTTGAAATCAACGCATAGACGACGCTCGTTATCATATGGCGGCAGCGGTTAACATCATAACAGATCAGCTGTAAATGTATAAAGATGCTAACCTGCATAGTTTTGGCTATCTCAAGGTGTATACTCGTCGCCGCCTGCCTTCATCTGGTCTTTGCTTGAAGACTGAAAGAATGGTCCACCGTAAATATTCAACAAGGCATAGAGCCGCTTTGCAGGTCAGCCATTTGCGGTGACGTGACTCTATCTGTTGATCACGTAAATCGTGACCGGGAACTTTCATCTAGGATGGCCATAATAATTAACTGTTGCACCACCTCCTTACTACAGAGAGATTGTGAACACCACAACAGCAAAAAGAATGAAGCTCTCACACGCTGCCACGCGGCATAAAGATTGAACGCTCCGAAGCCACATTTCGTGCATTTGCCGTAATCCTGACCTACCTACCTACTCGTTACCTGACAGGTTCATCTCTGTAACACACGGACAAACCCAGCTCCGTCTGCTTCACGTTTTTATAATGTGTGTAGCATTTGTACACAGCAGATAGAACCACTTTAAGCAGGTAAAGAAGCATGCAAACGGCAAAATGCAGGGCATCATCCTCTTGTGCAATGCCTGACAGCTTTCCCGAACGTAATACAGGAAAGCTGGAATAAAACGAACGTAATAAAGGAAAGCTTGAATAAAACTACAGCATGTCGCAGCGCATACAGACGACACTCGAGGAATTCATTAGATTTGCACTCGCTTGACCAGCGCTTGATCCCAATAGTATGCTATCCCGAGGCAGATCGGTACGCAAAAATGGAATGCCTGTTTATGAGCCTTTAGCCGTTGATCTCCCTGCTGGTCTAAATACGCGTTGCTTATGATGGGACCAGGATAAGTTTGGACAGTCTTCAAGGAACAAGAATACCATTGCTCCAGAAATGTTTTCTTGTCCTTTTAATAACGATTACGTGAACGCCATTTGGCCAAACCTAGACGACAATCCTTTGTTGGACGTCGCAAGGTCGCATGAGCTCCTCAAGGCTCAGGATGCTCCTGGATATCCGTTATAAGGTAACACAGGTTTCCGGCCAGTACGTCCAGTCAGCATGTTTGCAAGATATCAGGCATATCCAACCGCTTTGTCCGCACGGCGATTCAAAAGGACAGCTCTTCCTTGGAGGACAGCTCTCCCCCAAGCTCTCCCTTGGAGCATGTTATCTCCCACATCCTGCACCTGCTAAAGAAAACTACAAGACGTTTTTAAGCGGCAGTTCTACAACACAAGTGCAGTTTTGCACACGAGCGCGAACGACGCAGGGCACAACACCATCTACTCCAGCTGGGCCCGTTGCCGACGCCTGGGCCCGTTGCAGATGCAGACAACTCCTACCGCGAAAAGAACGTATAGGAAAAACGCAACGCAATGGTGTGGTAAATCAGAGTACTTCACCCTGCTTCCGGTCTGCCTGCATTCCCTAGCCTGCACTACATACACCTGCACAGCGAAGATACGTACGAAATCCATTACTTTGACCCAGATCCAGCATTTAGGCTTTGCTGTTGGGCGTCGGCGGCGAACAGAGCACGCAAGGGACGGCGTTATGTACCTAGGGAGGAGCGGGTATACCCCTGCTGCGGCCTGATAGACATATTGAAGATGAGCAGCACGCCTTGCTAAACTAGTCCGGTGTACGGCGAAATCAGATCTGATATGGATTTCCCACGCTTCGATCACATGAAGGATGCTATGAAGTGGGAACCTGAACACCTGGCAAGGATGCTGGAAACTATGTGGTCCCACCGCAACTCTATCGTTCCCTTTGGTCGTTAGCCTCCTTTATCACTTGCTTTGTCTGAAGTGCGAGGTAGGATGGTGCTTACAGGCGATCTGGCAGCCCTTGAGCCCTCCGCTCGTATTGGGCGGTTTGCAGGTACGGGGTACGCACCCCCACGATCATGTAACACACATTAAAAGCTTTGACGCAGCTAGATCTACGCGATGTTAAGATATAGGCGAGTGGAACTGTGTAGGTAAAGCCAACCTTAACCGTTACAGGTATCACAGAACAAGCTTTCAGTCAGAACATCATCTCCTTTATACCAAACATTCCATCTTATCTGTCGTACAGCCGTTAGTGTTCTGGCCGGAAGTCAACACTCCCCCTCGGACGGAACACTCGGGCGAATCCAACTCAACGAACACCCAGCCCTTCTCGAAACTGCACGAACTTCCCTTCCGGTAACGGCTTCGTGAGGATATCCGCTACCATGCTGGTAGTGGGACAGTACTCAAACTTCACCTGCCCCATAGATACCCTCTCACGCACAAAATGATGAATCACATCAATGTGCTTCGCACGTTCCGAAACAATCGGATTCTTTATCAAACTTAATGCTCCCTGGTTGTCACCCCAGATACGCATCACGTCGATCTCACACCCAAACTCGGGCAGAAGTTTCCTCAGCCAGAGCGCTTCGCGAGTAGCTAGGGACGCCGCCATATACTCGGCCTCCACAGTCGATGCTGCTACAGTCGGTTGCAACCGACTCTTCCAGCTGACGGCTCCACCGCCAAGGATAAAGGCATATCCAGTTGTCGAACGGCGGTTGTCTCGATCCACTGCCCAATCCGCATCGGCATAACCCTCAATTGCCTTG